CCATTCCTCCATCCGTGACCATTCCTCCATCCGTGCCATTCTCCATCCGTGCCATTCCTCCATCCGTGCCATTCCTCCATCCGTGCCATTCCTCCATCCGTGCCATTCCTCCATCCGTGCCATTCCTCCATCCGTGCCATTCCTCCATCCGTGCCATTCCTCCATCCGTGCCATTCCTCCATCCGTGCCATTCCTCCATCCGTGCCATTCCTCCATCCGTGCCATTCCTCCATCCGTGCCATTCCTCCATCCGTGCCATTCCTCCATCCGTGCCATTCCTCCATCCGTGCCATTCCTCCATCCGTGCCATTCCTCCATCCGTGCCATTCCTCCATCCGTGCCATTCCTCCATCCGTGCCATTCCTCCATCCGTGCCATTCCTCCATCCGTGCCATTCCTCCATCCGTGCCATTCCTCCATCCGTGCCATTCCTCCATCCGTGCCATTCCTCCATCCGTGCCATTCCTCCATCCGTGCCATTCCTCCATCCGTGCCATTCCTCCATCCGTGCCATTCCTCCATCCGTGCCATTCCTCCATCCGTGCCATTCCTCCATCCGTGCCATTCCTCCATCCGTGCCATTCCTCCATCCGTGCCATTCCTCCATCCGTGCCATTCCTCCATCCGTGCCATTCCATCCGTGCCCTTCCGCCATCCGTGCCATTTTTCCCTCCATCCGTGCCCTTCCTCCATCCGTGCCATTCCTCCATCCGTGCCATTCCTCCATCCGTGCCATTCCCTCCATCCGTGCCATTCCTCCATCCGTGCCATTCCTCCATCCGTGCCATTCCTCCATCCGTGCCATTCCTCCATCCGTGCCATTCCTCCATCCGTGCCATTCCTCCATCCGTGCCATTCCTCCATCCGTGCCCTTCCTCATCCGTGCCATTCCTCCATCCGTGCCATTCCTCCATCCGTGCCATTCCTCCATCCGTGCCATTCCTCCATCCGTGCCATTCCTCCATCCGTGCCATTCCTCCATCCGTGCCATTCCTCCATCCGTGCATTCCTCCATCCGTGCCATTCCTCCATCCGTGCCATTCCTCCATCCGTGCCATTCCTCCATCCGTGCCATTCCTCCATCCGTGCCATTCCTCCATCCGGCCATTCCTCCATCCGTGCCATTCCTCCATCCGTGCCATTCCTCCATCCGTGCCATTCCTCCATCCGTGCCATTCCTCCATCCGTGCCATCCTCATCCGTGCCATTCTCCATCCGTGCCCTCCTCCATCCGTGCCATTCCTCCATCCGTGCATTCCTCCATCCGTGCCATTCCTCCATCCGTGCCATTCCTCCATCCGTGCCATTCCTCCATCCGTGCCATTCCTCCATCCGTGCCATTCCTCCATCCGTGCCATTCCTCCATCCGTGCCATTCCTCCATCCGTGCCATTCCTCCATCCGTGCCATTCCTCCATCCGTGCCATTCCTCCATCCGTGCCATTCCTCCATCCGTGCCATTCCTCCATCCGTGCCATTCCTCCATCCGTGCCATTCCTCCATCCGTGCCATTCCTCCATCCGTGCCATTCCTCCATCCGTGCCATTCCTCCATCCGTGCCATTCCTCCATCCGTGCCATTCCTCCATCCGTGCCATTCCTCCATCCGTGCCATTCCTCCATCCGTGCCATTCCTCCATCCGTGCCATTCCTCCATCCGTGCCATTCCTCCATCCGTGCCATTCCTCCATCCGTGCCATTCCTCCATCCGTGCCATTCCTCCATCCGTGCCATTCCTCCATCCGTGCCATTCCTCCATCCGTGCCATTCCTCCATCCGTGCCATTCCTCCATCCGTGCCATTCCTCCATCCGTGCCATTCCTCCATCCGTGCCATTCCTCCATCCGTGCCATTCCTCCATCCGTGCCATTCCTCCATCCGTGCCATTCCTCCATCCGTGCCATTCCTCCATCCGTGCCATTCCTCCATCCGTGCCATTCCTCCATCCGTGCCATTCCTCCATCCGTGCCATTCCTCCATCCGTGCCATTCCTCCATCCGTGCCATTCCTCCATCCGTGCCATTCCTCCATCCGTGCCATTCCTCCATCCGTGCCATTCCTCCATCCGTGCCATTCCTCCATCCGTGCCATTCCTCCATCCGTGCCATTCCTCCATCCGTGCCATTCCTCCATCCGTGCCATTCCTCCATCCGTGCCATTCCTCCATCCGTGCCATTCCTCCATCCGTGCCATTCCTCCATCCGTGCCATTCCTCCATCCGTGCCATTCCTCCATCCGTGCCATTCCTCCATCCGTGCCATTCCTCCATCCGTGCCATTCCTCCATCCGTGCCATTCCTCCATCCGTGCCCATTCCTCCATCCGTGCCATTCCTCCATCCGTGCCATTCCTCCATCCGTGCCATTCCTCCATCCGTGCCATTCCTCCATCCGTGCCATTCCTCCATCCGTGCCATTCCTCCATCCGTGCCATTCCTCCATCCGTGCCATTCCTCCATCCGTGCCATTCCTCCATCCGTGCCATTCCTCCGATCCGTGCCATTCCTCCATCCGTGCCATTCCTCCATCCGTGCCATTCCTCCATCCGTGCCATTCTCCCATCCGTGCCATTCCTCCATCCGTGCCATTCCTCCATCCGTGCCATTCCTCCATCCGTGCCATTCCTCCATCCGTGCCATTTCCTCCATCCGTGCCATTCCTCCATCCGTGCCATTCCTCCATCCGTGCCATTCCTCCATCCGTGCCATTCCTCCATCCGTGCCATTCCTCCATCCGTGCCATTCCTCCATCCGTGCCATTCCTCCATCCGTGCCATTCCTCCATCCGTGCCATTCCTCCATCCGTGCCATTCCTCCATCCGTGCCATTCCTCCATCCGTGCCATTCCTCCATCCGTGCCATTCCTCCATCCGTGCCATTCCTCCATCCGTGCCATTCCTCCATCCGTGCCATTCCTCCATCCGTGCCATTCCTCCATCCGTGCCATTCCTCCATCCGTGCCATTTCCTCCATCCGTGCCATTCCTCCATCCGTGCCATTCCTCCATCCGTGCCATTCCTCCATCCGTGCCATTCCTCCATCCGTGCCATTCCTCCATCCGTGCCATTCCTCCATCCGTGCCATTCCTCCATCCGTGCCATTCCTCCATCCGTGCCATTCCTCCATCCGTGCCATTCCTCCATCCGTGCCATTCCTCCATCCGTGCCATTCCTCCATCCGTGCCCATTCCTCCATCCGTGCCATTCCTCCATCCGTGCCATTCCTCCATCCGTGCCATTCCTCCATCCGTGCCATTCCTCCATCCGTGCCATTCCTCCATCCGTGCCATTCCTCCATCCGTGCCATTCCTCCATCCGTGCCATTCCTCCATCCGTAGCCATTCCATTCCTCCATCCGTGCCATTCCTCCATCCGTGCCATTCCTCCATCCGTGCCATTCCTCCATCCGTGCCATTCCTCCATCCGTGCCATTCCTCCATCCGTGCCATTCCTCCATCCGTGCCATTCCTCCATCCGTGCCATTCCTCCATCCGTGCCATTCCTCCATCCGTGCCATTCCTCCATCCGTGCCATTCCTCCATCCGTGCCATTCCTCCATCCGTGCCATTCCTCCATCCGTGCCATTCCTCCATCCGTGCCATTCCTCCATCCGTGCCATTCCTCCATCCGTGCCATTCCTCCATCCGTGCCATTCCTCCATCCGTGCCATTCCTCCATCCGTGCCATTCCTCCATCCGTGCCATTCCTCCATCCGTGCCATTCCTCCATCCGTGCCATTCCTCCATCCGTGCCATTCCTCCATCCGTGCCATTCCTCCATCCGTGCCATTCTCCATCCGTGCCTTCCTCCATCCGTGCCATTCCTCCATCCGTGCCATTCCTCCATCCGTGCCATTCCTCCATCCGTGCCATTCCTCCATCCGTGCCATTCCTCCATCCGTGCCATTCCTCCATCCGTGCCATTCCTCCATCCGTGCCATTTCCTGCCTCCATCCGTGCCATTCCTCCATCCGTGCATTCCTCCATCCGTGCCATTCCTCCATCCGTGCCATTCCTCCATTCCGTGCCATTCCTCCATCCGTGCCATTCCTCCATCCGTGCCATTCCCATCTCATCCGTGCCATTCCTCATCCGTGCCATTCCTCCATCCGTGCCATTCCTCCATCCGTGCCATTCCTCCATCCGTGCCATTCCTCCATCCGTGCCATTCCTCCATCCGTGCCATTCCTCCATCCGTGGCCATTCCTCCATCCGTGCCATTCCTCCATCCGTGCCATTCCTCCATCCGTGCCATTCCTCCATCCGTGCCATTCCTCCATCCGTGCCATTCCGCTCATCCGTGCCATTCCTCCATCCGTGCCATTCCTCCATCCGTGCCATTCCTCCATCCGTGCCATTCCTCCATCCCGTGCCATTCCTCCATCCGTGCCATTCCTCCATCCGTGCCATTCCTCCATCGTGCCATTCCTCCCATCCGTGCCATTCCTCCATCCGTGCCATTCCTCCATCCGTGCCATTCCTCCATCCGTGCCATTCCTCCATCCGTGCCATTCCTCCATCCGTGCCATTCCTCCATCCGTGCCATTCCTCCATCCGTGCCCTTCCTCCATCCGTGCCATTCCTCCATCCGTGCCATTCCTCCATCCGTGCCATTCCTCCATCCGTGCCATTCCTCCATCCGTGCCTCATCCCTCCCCATGCATCATTCCCGTGTTACATCACCACATATGGCACATCACAGATCAAGGCAGAAGCAACAAGGTATGATCTGTTTGACGTTCCATGCCACTTCATGCCCCATCCCCATGCCCATGTCACACCCCACCCCATGCCCATCACCCCAAATGGTGCATCACATATCAAAGTAGCAGCAACGGAGTATGATCTGTTTGACATTGCCGGCCAGAGCTTCTTTGTCGTCACTCCTCCATGTGCCATCCCCATTCCCCATGCCCCGTCTCCATTCTCCTTCCCCCTGCCCTCTGCCCCATGCCATCCCATGTCCCCATGCCCCATCACACGCCATCTAATGGTGCATCATCACAGGTAGAGGCAGCAGCAACGGAGTATGATCTGTTTGACATTGTCGGCCAGAGCTTCTTTGTCGTCACTCCATGCCATTCTGCTACCACTCCTGGGTACGTGTGCGTGTGTGTGTATGTGTGAGTGTGTGTGCGTGCGCGCGTGCGCGTGCGTGTGTGCGGATTTCTGCTCATTGTGTTTCCTTCAACTTAAACAGGGATGCCACAAGGGTTTTTCAAAGCGGAACCTCAGGAGTTGTTGAGAGCCCTGAAACCAACCAACCTGTTGTTGAACACTCGCTTGCTGCACTGTCAGGGTTTGCCACTCTTCCTCTAACCTTTCATATTTCATCCTCCTCCAATCTCCTCATCATCCTCAGGAGTTCTTGTTGAACGGCATCAGTAGAGCCGCCCTCCTTTCTCTTGATGCGCTTCTCCTTCCTTCCCTTCCTCCTCCCCCCCCTCCTTTCATCTCCTCTCACACACAGAATGGTGCTCAACGGCACAGAGATCCGCATTTGGGAAGTGTGAGCTCTTTTTTAATGCGCATCAAATCTGCGCTCCTTCCTCCCACTGCCCTCCTCTTTACTTCCCCTCATCCTCCTCCACACAGGGTGGTGCTCAACGGCACAGAGATCCTCATCCGGGAAGTGTGAGTGCCCTTCCTGTACCCCTCATAGTCCCCACTCGTTTGCGTACCTCATGATTTACAGTGTGCTAACAGATTACTGTAAAGCACCTTTAGATCTTGATCCTCACAGCGTGCTGTGACAATCATTTTGACCTGTTTGACCGCCCTTGACTGCAACATAGTCTCTCTCCCACCTCCCCTACGCCCCGTCGCTTCCCATCCCAGCGCCTCATTTCTCTGTAGAGCTCTCCATCCATCCGCACCATGCACCACGTTGACCTTCTTGACCGGCTTGACTGCAACTCAGTCTCTTTTTCTTGGCCTTCCTTCCTCTCCTTCCCTCCCCTCCCATCTCAGCTCGTCTCATTACTCTTTAGAGCCCTCCATCCGCACCACACGCCACGTTGACCGCGTTGACCAGTTTGACCGTCCACGTCCCTACCTCCCTTTTCATCCTTTCCCTTCCCATTCCAGGTCATCTCATTACTCTTTGGAGCTCTCCATCCGCACCACGCGCCACGTTGACCGCATTGACCAGCTTGACCGCGAGCTGGGGGCAGCATGGGAGCACCTGTGCGGACTCATGGCTGATCGGATAAGGACAGGCGGAGGGACGGGTGGGCATGGAGGAAGGGCAGTGGAAGCTGCCATTCTGCGAGTTGCGTACTTCTGGTGAGAGTGCATGATGACATGCCAAGGGGGTGGGGGCTGGGGGCAGCATGGGAGCATCTGTGTGGACTCATGGTTGATGGGGGAGGGACGGGGCATGGAGGAAGGAGAGTGGAAGCTGCCATCCTGTGAGTAGCGTACTTCTGGTGAGCACTCGTGACCGCGTCGACCAGTTTGACCGGGAGTCATTCACAATTCAGTCATTCACCAATCTCATTACAATCACAATGTGCATCACTATCGTAACGCATTCACCCAGGTATCAAGCGCTTCCCCTGTCAAGAGGAAAGGCATGGTGGGGCGTGCCACGCTCCTCTTGTGGTGCTCGACTAATGCAGCAACGTCCCATTTCTGTCACAATTCTAAGGGCGGAACCCTCTGTTTATCTGAGCCCCCTTCATCAAGGGCATGTTTGGGACGTGCCACGCTCCTCGGTCTTTTCCTGCAGTGCTTCGCTAATGGAGAAGTTTCTCATTGCGATCACAATTCCATGTGTTCTAACACTATCTTAATGCATTCTCCCAGATACCAGGCACTCCCCCTGTCTCGAGGAATAGCCATGGTGGGATCTGCAACGCTCCTAGGCCTCTTCCCATGGTGCTTGCAGCAGCATCTCAATGCACTCAAAATTCCATGCACTTTCTGTTCATCACAACCCCTTTCATCCAGGTATCAGGCAATGCCCCTGTCCCGTGGAACAGCCGTGGTGGGATATGCCACGCTCCTAGGCCTCTTTCTGGCTGCTGGGAAGGGGATAACAGCGAGCATCCCCCCGCGAATGCAGGTAAAAATGTTTGCATTCTATGTTCCACATTGGTGATAGATGAATGAAGCGACAGGGGAGTGTACAGCTCTTCCTGGCCTCTTCCTGACTGCTGGCGAAGACCTGGCAGCAAGGGTGTCCCCCAGTAGGTAGGTATTTTGGGGCACCGCAATTTGTCCTTCAGTAGGTAGGTATGCACTGTATGCAGGTGTGCTCTTACCCCGTAGGTTCACTTGAAAGCATGGTTAACACCCGATGTGTTTTGGTTGACCATATGTCTGCACGGATCAACACTCTTTACCCTTAACCTGATGCATCCTTCGTACCTGTCAGGTGGATTGGGAGGCGATGCTGACACCTACAGTGGATGACTTTATATCGAGGATGTCAGAGTGGATGTATCCGTCTATTGTCGATGCAAAGAGATTCCACAGCTTGCCTGGCATCCACCAGGCATTCCCCACTGTGGAGTTAGTGCTAAAGATGATGGCTGATGTCTAGGCAAGTGCTTGTAGTTGCGTCGGAGTGGATGTATCCATCCATTGTTGATGCAAGAAGCTTCCACAGCTTGCCCGGCATCCACCAGGCATTCCCCACAGTAGAGTCAGTGTTAAAGATGATGGCTGATGTTAAGATTGTTGGTCATGCTCCTGCCTTCAGCAAATGACTTTATATCGAGGATGTCGGAGCGGATGTATTTATCCAACACAAGTACAACCGCTGTTGCTAAAAACAATCGCCGAAGGAATGGGTAATGAAGTAGGAACCCTGAAATGGAGCGCATGCACTCCCTTCTTATCCTTCAATTCGTATATGGTAGTTTTACAGAGGTCCTTCTAAGCCTTCCACCCTTCCTTTGGAGGCCCTACTACCGTGAGTCTTGTTGCTGTAGCATTGGTTTATGTTTACCGAGCCACAGTAAACGGCCAACTGAAGAAATGTTACCTGGTATATGAAATGCGTTCAGAAAGCATTGTCGAGGTGAAGGCTCGCTATCAAAACTAGACAACACAACCGGCTTTGGGTTGGGGGATGAGAAGAGCGTGTTGACTACTATTGAAGCCTGGAACGCTCTACGCACACTGATCAATTCACACTAGGTCGTCCTGTCTTCACGGTCTCCCCTATTTTAAAATCCCAGGCCGGGGCGACCGGACGGGTCGGGTATCTGTATCCATTCTATATAGTGCCTACCGTATGTATTTGTACAACCATTCTGACCAGATTTCGGGTCGGGTCATTATCGAGTCAAAACTTGACCCCGCCTTGCCTGATTGCAGTAATCCAGCCAAGACTGGACTTGAACCGCCGTGGGCAAAAACCTGACTTTTAGACCCGGTCGGGACAGGTCGACCCCACGTGGCCGGACCTCAACCTCAAACATTTGCGCAACTGGTTTAGGGTTAATAAAAAAAAACATTCCGTTGCCGGGACTTGAACCCGGGTCTCTCGGGTGAGAGCCGAGTATCCTAACCGACTAGACTACAACGGATGTTGATGTGAGGTTAAGATATCTTCCTAGTTCAGAACAATTATTAGCAACTAGTTCAGCAAGCTACCCAGCAGTTTACAAATCAACCCACTGCTCCACCTACTAACTAGCATCAGCCACAATCTCGTACAAAAGAAACATTTTCCTCTCACACCTCAAAACGATGTTGAGAGAGTTGAATGATAAGCTGAAGCACCACACAGTCCGGGTGAAGGGAGAAGGTGCATTACACAGCGTGAGACACGACCTCGATCTTGGCTGGAACTGCTACAACAAACTGATGGAAAAGAGAGTGACGCAGCGCGAAAGGAGACGTGGTAGCACTTCTCCAATGGCGATGGGACGTACACCACCACGCGGTTACTTTAGAGCGACGAGGTTTGAAGCAGTGTAGAACAGCCTGACTGTAGGTGGAAGATCGCCTTGCAACCAGTAAGGGAAGATGTGAAGGAGATGCTGCTGGTTGGAGAGGAACGTGTCCCGACGATGCTCAACAAGCCACCCAGAAGGTCTCGTAGCTGTGCCACGGGGGGGGGATAGGGGGGGGGGACTGTGGGGCGGCATAGAGGGCAGGAGTTGTTTCCTTAAACAGTGTCGTCAAATTTGTTTTTTCCCTCTAAAACAGCTACCGTACTGGTACTTTGGAGACGAAAACAGCAATGAGTAGATCAGGTCGTGGCTGCACATCAGAGATAGGAAAAAACCCACAGCTCTCAAAGATGCTGTGCCAGCCGGGAATCGAACCCGGGTCTGCACCGGGCTCATGGCAGGGTGCTATTCTACCACTAGACCACTGGCACGCTGGATGAAAAATTGTAGAGCAGATACAGTCTCTGACCGCTTGCGTACTTTGTTTCCACAGATTCTAAGCAGTCTCTTGCCACTACTGCTGCATCATCTACCATGGGCCGATGGTAGGTGAAAAAAGGACCTATAACTGCCATTGTATTTTGATCCGCGTCAGCAGGTCCTCCATGGGAGATCCCATTCGCATTACTGCTTCGTCATCTGGTGGTTGGTGAGAAAAGTCACTATCTCGTCACTTCCTTTCTTCGTTTATCCGCTTCAGCAGGTCCTCAATTTGACACTCCATTGCCATTACTGCTGAGTCGTCTACCGTACCTTCATCACTGACAGATGCGGAAACATAAGTGTTTCGCAGGTGCGAGAGAGTGGGAGAGAGTGGGAGAGAGGGGAGGAGCAGGCAGGGGGCAGGGAAAGGAGGCAAGGGGAGGAAGGCTGGATGAGTCAGTGGCTACACAGATGGGAGCAGGCATGCAGTGTTTGCAGCATGGCGGGACAACGTGAATGACCATGTGCTCGACAACTACACAAGGGTTGCGGTGGCTCACTATTGCCGGTAAAGGGAGGAAGGAAGGCTGGATGAGTCAGCGGCTATACAGATGGGAGCAGGCATGCAGTGTTTGCAGCATGGCGGCGGGACAACACAACTTACCATGAGCACAAAAAACAGAGGCTCCAATGGCACACCAGCAGAGGGAAGCAAAACGTGGTGTGACTTTTGAGGCGCCACTGAAAACAGAGGCTCCAATGGCACACCAGCAGAGGGAAGCAAAACGTGGTGTGACTTTTGAGGCGCCACTGAAAACAGAGGCTCCAATGGCACACCAGCAGAGGGAAGCAAAACGTGGTGTGCCTTTTGAGGCGCCACTGAAAACAGAGGCTCCAATGGCACACCAGCAGAGGGAAGCAAAACGTGGTGTGCCTTTTGAGGTGCCACTGAAAACAGAGGCTCCAATGGCACACCAGCAGAGGGAAGCAAAACGTGGTGTGCCTTTTGAGGCGCCACTGAAAACAGAGGCTCCAATGGCACACCAGCAGAGGGAAGCAAAACGTGGTGTGCCTTTTGAGGCGCCACTGAAAACAGAGGCTCCAATGGCACACCAGCAGAGGGAAGCAAAACGTGGTGTGCCTTTTGAGGCGCCACTGAAAACAGAGGCTCCAATGGCACACCAGCAGAGGGAAGCAAAACGTGGTGTGCCTTTTGAGGCGCCACTGAAAACAGAGGCTCCAATGGCACACCAGCAGAGGGAAGCAAAACGTGGTGTGCCTTTTGAGGCGCCACTGAAAACAGAGGCTCCAATGGCACACCAGCAGAGGGAAGCAAAACGTGGTGTGCCTTTTGAGGCGCCACTGAAAACAGAGGCTCCAATGGCACACCAGCAGAGGGAAGCAAAACGTGGTGTGCCTTTTGAGGCGCCACTGAAAACAGAGGCTCCAATGGCACACCAGCAGAGGGAAGCAAAACGTGGTGTGCCTTTTGAGGCGCCACTGAAAACAGAGGCTCCAATGGCACACCAGCAGAGGGAAGCAAAACGTGGTGTGACTTTTGAGGCGCCACTGAAAACAGAGGCTCCGATGGCACACCAGCAGAGGGAAGCAAAACGTGGTGTGCCTTTTGAGGCGCCACTGAAAACAGAGGCTCCAATGGCACACCAGCAGAGGGAAGCAAAACGTGGTGTGACTTTTGAGGCGCCACTGAAAACAGAGGCTCCAATGGCACACCAGCAGAGGGAAGCAAAACGTGGTGTGCCTTTTGAGGCGCCACTGAAAACAGAGGCTCCAATGGCACACCAGCAGAGGGAAGCAAAACGTGGTGTGACTTTTGAGGCGCCACTGAAAACAGAGGCTCCAATGGCACACCAGCAGAGGGAAGCAAAACGTGGTGTGACTTTTGAGGCGCCACTGAAAACAGAGGCTCCAATGGCACATCAGCAGAGGGAAGCAAAACGTGGTGTGACTTTTGAGGCGCCACTGAAAACAGAGGCTCCAATGGCACACCAGCAGAGGGAAGCAAAACGTGGTGTGCCTTTTGAGGCGCCACTGAAAACAGAGGCTCCAATGGCACACCAGCAGAGGGAAGCAAAACGTGGTGTGACTTTTGAGGCGCCACTGAAAACAGAGGCTCCAATGGCACACCAGCAGAGGGAAGCAAAACGTGGTGTGCCTTTTGAGGCGCCACTGAAAACAGAGGCTCCAATGGCACACCAGCAGAGGGAAGCAAAACGTGGTGTGACTTTTGAGGCGCCACTGAAAACAGAGGCTCCAATGGCACATCAGCAGAGGGAAGCAAAACGTGGTGTGACTTTTGAGGCGCCACTGAAAACAGAGGCTCCAATGGCACACCAGCAGAGGGAAGCAAAACGTGGTGTGCCTTTTGAGGCGCCACTGAAAACAGAGGCTCCAATGGCACACCAGCAGAGGGAAGCAAAACGTGGTGTGCCTTTTGAGGCGCCACTGAAAACAGAGGCTCCAATGGCACACCAGCAGAGGGAAGCAAAACGTGGTGTGCCTTTTGAGGCGCCACTGAAAACAGAGGCTCCAATGGCACACCAGCAGAGGGAAGCAAAACGTGGTGTGCCTTTTGAGGCGCCACTGAAAACAGAGGCTCCAATGGCACACCAGCAGAGGGAAGCAAAACGTGGTGTGCCTTTTGAGGCGCCACTGAAAACAGAGGCTCCAATGGCACACCAGCAGAGGGAAGCAAAACGTGGTGTGACTTTTGAGGCGCCACTGAAAACAGAGGCTCCAATGGCACACCAGCAGAGGGAAGCAAAACGTGGTGTGACTTTTGAGGCGCCACTGAAAACAGAGGCTCCAATGGCACACCAGCAGAGGGAAGCAAAACGTGGTGTGCCTTTTGAGGCGCCACTGAAAACAGAGGCTCCAATGGCACACCAGCAGAGGGAAGCAAAACGTGGTGTGACTTTTGAGGCGCCACTGAAAACAGAGGCTCCAATGGCACACCAGCAGAGGGAAGCAAAACGTGGTGTGACTTTTGAGGCGCCACTGAAAACAGAGGCTCCAATGGCACACCAGCAGAGGGAAGCAAAACGTGGTGTGCCTTTTGAGGCGCCACTGAAAACAGAGGCTCCAATGGCACACCAGCAGAGGGAAGCAAAACGTGGTGTGCCTTTTGAGGCGCCACTGAAAACAGAGGCTCCAATGGCACACCAGCAGAGGGAAGCAAAACGTGGTGTGCCTTTTGAGGCGCCACTGAAAACAGAGGCTCCAATGGCACACCAGCAGAGGGAAGCAAAACGTGGTGTGCCTTTTGAGGCGCCACTGAAAACAGAGGCTCCAATGGCACACCAGCAGAGGGAAGCAAAACGTGGTGTGACTTTTGAGGCGCCACTGAAAACAGAGGCTCCAATGGCACACCAGCAGAGGGAAGCAAAACGTGGTGTGCCTTTTGAGGCGCCACTGAAAACAGAGGCTCCAATGGCACACCAGCAGAGGGAAGCAAAACGTGGTGTGACTTTTATGATTCAGAAAGACTACGCAGCATGGCATGACGCCTACCAAAGACTAAAAGGCCGCACCAGTTGTGTATAGATTCGTGATGCAAAGCTGATCGCACCTACTGTGTACAGGCTAAGGGATACGCGCAAAGCAAGTGCTAAAAAAAGGCCGCACCTGTTGCGTATGGGCTCATGGTCCAATGCTAAGGGGCTCATGGTCCAATGCTAAGGGGCTCATGGTCCAATGCTAAGCGCACCACAAACAGTAGGACTCAGCAACTTGGCATGAGCACCTATCAGAGACTCAAAGGCTGCAACTGTTTTGTATGGGCTCATGGTCCAGTGCTGAGCGCACCACGTACAGTAGGGCTCAGCAACTTGATATGCGCACTGACCAAGGACTCAAAGGGCGCACCTGTTGTGTATGGATTCATGGTCCAGTGCTGAGCACACCACATACAGAGCTCTTCCCACTATGTCTCTCACGTTCTCGGGACCAAGAGTGCGGCTGTCTAGGGCCTCCTGGAGGGAGGAGACAGAGAGCACTTACCAAGGACTCAAAGGCCGCACCACGTACCTGTTGTGTATGGGTTCATGGTCCAGTGCTGAGCGCACCACATACAGAGCTCTCCCCACCATGTCCCTCACGTGCACAGGCCCGAGCGTCCGGCTGTCTAAGGCCTCCTGGGAGGGAATAATAAAAAGGAGGAGCAGGAAATGGACTTAGAGCACGAAACGAGTGAATAGATTCCTGGCTAGGAGCCTCTGTGCTGTCTCCTTGAATGCCCGGGGTGAATTCTGAGGCGCCTCAGAAGTGGAGTTTGAGCACAAGAAGAGATGGATTCCTGGCTATTTTTGAGGCGCCTAAAAAAAATCCGCGGGAGTTGAGACGATTTTTGAGGCGCCTCAAAAATCGTCTCAACTCAAATGGAGTATGAGCACGAGAAGAGATGGATTCCTGGCTAGGAGGAGCTGCCGTGCTGTTCCCCTGGCTGGGTGAGACTGCGCTGGCCCGATCGTGCGGCGGTGAAAGGCCTCCTGGGAGGGAAAACAAATAGACGGAGTGAAGAGGGGCGAAGATTCTTGAGGGTTGGAAAAGGCAAGAAAAAGAAGAAGAGCTTTCAGGCAAGAACCAGATATATATGTATATATATATATAGGAGAAAGAACGTTGGGGAACATACCTTTATCTTATCCAAGTACCTTTATATAACCGCCCTTACATACCCTTATATTTTCCAAGAACTCTTATTATCATCCTTTAACATACCTTTCCCATTTCCAAGTACCCTCAAATGATCACCCTACTGAACGCACCTTTGCAGGAACAGCGGGACCATCTGCAAGCACCCAGAACTGGTCCCCTTTCTTGTGGGTTGGTTGTGAGAATTCTCATAACCAAACCTGTTGCCCTTTCAAACTACCCTTGGACATACCTTCACAGGAACAGCCGGGTTGTCTGCAAGAACCCAGAAATGGTCCTTCTCTATCCGAAACGGCTCATCTGACGGTTGAGATGACAACATCTCGTCTCCAGGAACGGCTGCGACTCGCCGAAAGATAACCGGAAATGAACTGCGTGCTGCCTTCGCCTTGGCAGTGGCTTCTGAGTCGGAATGTTTTGAGTCGGAACCTTCTGTGTTGGCTTTTTGAGTTGACTCGACACTGGGGGCTGCTTTCGCCTTGGCTGCTTTCGCCTTGGCAGTGGATTCTGGGTCAAAACTGGCTGGTTCATTGCCCGCAGCAGCACGAGAAGCAGCAGAAGCAGAAGCAGGGGACGCAGCTTCAGAAGCAGAGGCAGAGGCAGCAGGAAAAGCAGAAGCAGGAGAAACAGAGGCAGCAGGAGAAGCAGGGGCAGCAGGAGCAGGAGAAGCAGAAGCAAATGCAGCAGAAACACGTGTGGGGTCGACATGAAACCCCACCACGTCTCCAACGGAAAGAGTGCTGCCACGGGGGAGAGTGAGGAGGAAATGGGAAGGGCTTATGAGAGAAAGGGGGGCAAAGAAAGTATGAGAGAAAGGGGGACTTCTGAGTCAGCTACAACGAAACACGTGCTGGGTCGACTTGGGTTGGAACCCCACAATTTCTTCAACGGAAACAGTGCTGCCACGGGGGAGAGCAAGGGGACACAGACAGGGCGTATGAGGAAAAGGGGGACATCTGAGTCGGCTCAAAAGAAACACGTGCTGGGACGACTCGGAACCCCCACCACGTCTCCAACGGAAACGGTGCTGCCATGGGGGAGAGCAAGGGGGACATAGAAAGTATGAGAGAAAGGGGGACATTTGAGTCAGCTCAAACGAAACACGTGCTGGGTTGGGTCGACTTGGGTTGGAACCCCACACGTCTCCGACAGAAACGGTGCTGCCATGGGGGAGAAAAAGGGGACATAGAAAAAAGACTTATAAGGAGAAACATAAGATTGGGTAGTCCTTATGAGAAAGCAATGGGCGGATAAGGAACAGACCAGATGGGCGGCACACTCAACTGCCAACTGGGTGGCACACACACTCTACTAAATGCACGGCACACTCACTAACTGCCATTTGGGGCGGCACACTCACTAACTGCCATTTGGGGCGGCACACTCACTCCCAAGTGGGCAGCAGCATAAACCGGTAGAGCACCCACTCGTCCTTCATCCCCCTTATAGTCGGCCTCATGGTCCCGTCTCGTAACAAAGAAGGCTGCAGATATGTCATATACGATTTCTCGTGCTGCACGATCTTGTTCAGAGTCCTCACTAGCTTGCCAATTGGGGGGAGCTCTCCTGGATGCTGCTCCATGTGGGCCTGCAAGGCAATCAGGCAGGGGAAGTGGGGGCAAGAGGGCGGCAGTCAGTACGATGTGCGTTGATGCCTCGTGCTGCACAATCCTGTTGAGAGTCCTCACTAGCTTGGTGATGGGGGGGAGCTCCCCTTGATGCTGCTCCATGTGGGTCTGCAATCAGGCAGGCAGAAAGGATACAGCTTTGTCAGGCCCAACTACCCTGCACAAAGCCGTTCATATGAAGCACTTCTGACACACATACTTAGTCACACTGTAATGAATTTTGAGAATTCTCAAAAGTCAGGCCAGCGCTCTCACCAGCACTCACAGCAGCACTCACAGCAGCACTCACAGCAGCACTCACACCATATCTCACGTGCACGAAAGCTGAGCATGGAGCACTTGCCTTCTGCCCCGAATGTTGCTTACCATCACCCACAGCACCAGTAACAGCAAGAATCTCTCACACCGCCTCTCACTGCAGCACTCACTCGCACGAGCACGAAGGTGAACAGGGAGCACTTCTGAGTCACGTATCCGCATTGAGTCGACTTTTGAGATTCCGCACTCACACCATCACTCACACCATCACTCACACCATCACTCACACCATCACTCGCACCATGACTCGCACCATCACTCGCACCATCACTCGCACCATCACTCGCACCATCACTCGCACCATCACTCGCACCATCACTCGCACCATCACTCGCACCATCACTCGCACCATCACTCGCACCATCACTCACTCGCACCATCACTCGCACCATCACTCGCACCATCACTCGCACCATCACTCGCACCATCACTCGCACCATCACTCGCACCATCACTCACTCGCACCATCACTCCCACCATCACTCCCACCATCACTCGCACCATCACTCGCACCATCACTCGCACCATCACTCACACCATCACTCCCACCAACACTCGCACCATCACTCGCACCATCACTCGCACCATCACTCACACCATCACTCACACCATCACTCACACCATCACTCACACCATCACTCGCACCATCACTCACTCGCACCATCACTCGCACCATCACTCGCACCATCACTCGCACCATCACTCGCACCATCACTCGCACCATCACTCGCACCATCACTCGCACCATCACTCGCACCATCACTCGCACCATCACTCACTCGCACCATCACTCGCACCATCACTCGCACCATCACTCGCACCATCACTCGCACCATCACTCGCACCATCACTCGCACCATCACTCACTCGCACCATCACTCCCACCATCACTCCCACCATCACTCGCACCATCACTCGCACCATCACTCGCACCATCACTCACACCATCACTCCCACCAACACTCGCACCATCACTCGCACCATCACTCGCACCATCACTCACACCATCACTCACACCATCACTCACACCATCACTCACACCATCACTCGCACCATCACTCACTCGCACCATCACTCGCACCATCACTCGCACCATCACTCGCACCATCACTCGCACCATCACTCGCACCATCACTCGCACCATCACTCGCACCATCACTCGCACCATCACTCGCACCATCACTCACTCGCACCATCACTCGCACCATCACTCGCACCATCACTCGCACCATCACTCGCACCATCACTCGCACCATCACTCGCACCATCACTCGCACCATCACTCACTCGCACCATCACTCCCACCATCACTCGCACCATCACTCACACCATCACTCGCACCATCACTCGCACCATCACTCGCACCATCACTCGCACCATCACTCGCACCATCACTCGCACCATCACTCGCACCATCACTCGCACCATCACTCACACCATCACTCGCACCATCACTCGCACCATCACTCGCACCATCACTCGCACCATCACTCACACCATCACTCACACCATCACTCACACCATCACTCGCACCATCACTCACTCGCACCATCACTCGCACCATCACTCGCACCATCACTCGCACCATCACTCGCACCATCACTCGCACCATCACTCGCACCATCACTCGCACCATCACTCCCACCATCACTCGCACCATCACTCGCACCATCACTCACACCATCACTCCCACCATCACTCGCACCATCACTCACAGCAGCACTCACGCGCACGATCACGAAGCTGTACAGGGAGCACTTCTGAGTCACGTATTTCAGCCGCATCAGCCACGACGCCATCGCGCCTGCTCTGCTCTGCTCTGCTCTGCTCTGCTCTGCTCTGCTCTGCTCGCAAGGAACGGAACCCTCCTGTTACTAGTACTGGCTCAGCTGCTCGTCAGGTGGTTACACGCCGTCTGGTGGTTACCAGTCCGCTCAGCTCGCTCGCGTGGACCTGACCCCTCCTGTTACTAGTACTGGCCTAGCTGCTCGTTCAGGTCAGCTCGTCTGGTGGTTACCCGTCGTCTGGCGTTTACTCGTCGGACTGTTGGTTACTCGTCGGTCTGCTATTTCACGACGGCAGCGGCTAAAATCGCTCAACGGTATGGTCCTCGAACCGCAGTTATGAGCACGCGAAGCAGCAAGAGTAACGATACGGGCGGTAAAGCAGTGGAGGCGGCTTCGACGCCGAGTCGCTCTAGTGCACTGTATCGCGCCGAGTCGCTCTAGTGCACTGTATCTGATCGTTAGAGTGAAAGCCGCCAACCAATGACGAGAAAGAGCGATGCGAGCACGATGATAGTGACGGCACAGCAAAAGGGCTGTTTCTGAGACGTCTCAATGACGATACTGACGACGGCAAAGCCTCAGATTCTAGGATCTTCTACAGAGAAGATACGCAGCAGCAGACGATTGCGAAGCAGACTTGCCGATCATGTAACGATCGCCTGTTAAACTACTTGGTAGAAAACGAGCAGCGCGGAACGAGACTACTGCACCCACTGCTACTCGAACAACCTAGGACAGATGGAGAAGCGAGAGACCATTGTCTTATACCTTTATTGTCCCCTCTTTCTATGGTATGCGGATTCAGGAGCCATGTATTTATCCAATTTGCTACGAATAGTGAGTATGAAACAAGACTCGACGTTTACGTCGGAAGGGTTGCGTAGAGTTGTATCCCTTGTATTAGAAACAATATGTTAGAAACATTGAGATAGAGTACATACATTATAATTATACTTTGCTTATAGAAGCAATTCATTAAGTTCTTCATTTTTACTTAAAACAGGTCAGGCTCGATAGTTCCCTATTATGAAGCGAAATGTTCTATAGATGTTGCTTCCCTCAAAGTTGTTAATTAATTGTGGAACAACTTGGACATTTATGCTCTTTTTGTGATTTTTATAAACATGAATTGTTTTCACCAACAACTTAACTCCATTGTTCTTTCAGGTTATTATAGCGGGTTGGGCATTTGGCATCGCTGAATGCCCTCGTCCTGCGCTGGCATATATTTTCTCGCTCTGCTGGCAGAAGTTTTCTCGTTCTGCGCTGGCATCCGTCTCTTTCACAGCTCGAATTCGGCGCTGTCTTTTCTTGGTTCTTGTTCTTGAATCTTCTCGACAAGAACCTGCTCTGCTCCTACTCCTTTTCCTCCCCTCCCCCCCACCCCTTCTCGCCAGTTCTTCTCCCACCTAGCCGTCGCTCTCGCTCCCATCCAGCCGTATCCTCTCCCTCACTACCCGCTGACACCTCTCCAACCCACCTCACAATCACTCCGTCCCATCCACCCCGCCATCTCCTCTCCCTTACCTCCCCGCCGTCGCCTCCCTCCTCCTCGCCGTCGCCTCCCTCCTCCCCGCCGTCGCCTATCCTCCTCCCCGCCGTCGCATCTCCTCCTCCCCGCCGTCGCCTCTCCCTCCTCCCCGCCGTCGCCTCCCTCCTCCCCGCCGTCGCCTCTCCTCCTCCCCGCCGTCGCCTCTCCTCCTCCCCGCCGTCGCATCTTCTCCTTCCCCGCCGTCGCCTCTCCTCCTCCCCGCCGTCGCCTCTCCCTCCTCCCCGCGGTCGCCTCTCCCTCCTCCCCGCCGTCGCCTCTCGCTCCTCCCCGCGGTCGCCTCTCCCCACTCCCCCCCATCGCCTCTCCTTCCCTCTCCGCCGTCTCGTCCGGCGACAGGTGCACGAGCGCAAGCGCGGGTTGGTGCGCGAGCGCGGGTTGCTTTCTCAGGCACCGTGGTTATCAGGTGCGTTCCTGGTCCTTCCGTCCTCCCTCCCCCCTTCTGAAATTTCCGTCCTGTTTTGTTTTGTTTTGATTTGTTTTTTTCTCTCCAATGTGTCGATTGATCTCCACTTGCATTGCACTTTCATTTGAAGAAGAAAGAGATGGAGCGCGAGGGAGAGCGTGTGCGCATGAGAGAGCGTGTGAGAGAGCGCGTGAGAGAGCGCGTGAGAGAGCGCGTGAGGGAGCGCATGAGAGAGCGCGTGAGGGAGCGCATGAGGGTGCGCGTGAGGGTGCGCGTGAGGGTGCGCGTGAGGGTGCGCGTGAGGGTGCGCGTGAGGGTGCGCGTGAGGGTGCGCGTGAGAGAGCGCGTGAGAGAGCGCGTGAGAGAGCGCGTGAGAGAGCGCGTGAGCGAGCGCAAGAGAGCGCGTGAGAGAGCGCAAGAGAGCGCGTGCGTGAGAGCGCGTGAGAGAGCACATGAGAGAGTGCGTGAAAGCGCTTGTGAGAGAGCGCGTGAGGAGCATGACCAACAATCATAAGATTGTTGGTCATGCTCCTGCCTTCAGCAAATGACTTTATATCGAGGATGTCGGAGCGGATGTATTTATCCAACACAAGTACAACCGCTGTTGCTAAAAACAATCGCCGAAGGAATGGGTAATGAAGTAGGAACCCTGAAATGGAGCGCATGCACTCCCTTCTTATCCTTCAATTCGTATATGGTAGTTTTACAGAGGTCCTTCTAAGCCTTCCACCCTTCCTTTGGAGGCCCTACTACCGTGAGTCTTGTTGCTGTAGCATTGGTTTATGTTTACCGAGCCACAGTAAACGGCCAACTGAAGAAATGTTACCTGGTATATGAAATGCGTTCAGAAAGCATTGTCGAGGTGAAGGCTCGCTATCAAAACTAGACAACACAACCGGCTTTGGGTTGGGGGATGAGAAGAGCGTGTTGACTACTATTGAAGCCTGGAACGCTCTACGCACACTGATCAATTCACACTAGGTCGTCCTGTCTTCACGGTCTCCCCTATTTTAAAATCCCAGGCCGGGGCGACCGGACGGGTCGGGTATCTGTATCCATTCTATATAGTGCCTACCGTATGTATTTGTACAACCATTCTGACCAGATTTCGGGTCGGGTCATTATCGAGTCAAAACTTGACCCCGCCTTGCCTGATTGCAGTAATCCAGCCAAGACTGGACTTGAACCGCCGTGGGCAAAAACCTGACTTTTAGACCCGGTCGGGACAGGTCGACCCCACGTGGCCGGACCTCAACCTCAAACATTTGCGCAACTGGTTTAGGGTTAATAAAAAAAAACATTCCGTTGCCGGGACTTGAACCCGGGTCTCTCGGGTGAGAGCCGAGTATCCTAACCGACTAGACTACAACGGATGTTGATGTGAGGTTAAGATATCTTCCTAGTTCAGAACAATTATTAGCAACTAGTTCAGCAAGCTACCCAGCAGTTTACAAATCAACCCACTGCTCCACCTACTAACTAGCATCAGCCACAATCTCGTACAAAAGAAACATTTTCCTCTCACACCTCAAAACGATGTTGAGAGAGTTGAATGATAAGCTGAAGCACCACACAGTCCGGGTGAAGGGAGAAGGTGCATTACACAGCGTGAGACACGACCTCGATCTTGGCTGGAACTGCTACAACAAACTGATGGAAAAGAGAGTGACGCAGCGCGAAAGGAGACGTGGTAGCACTTCTCCAATGGCGATGGGACGTACACCACCACGCGGTTACTTTAGAGCGACGAGGTTTGAAGCAGTGTAGAACAGCCTGACTGTAGGTGGAAGATCGCCTTGCAACCAGTAAGGGAAGATGTGAAGGAGATGCTGCTGGTTGGAGAGGAACGTGTCCCGACGATGCTCAACAAGCCACCCAGAAGGTCTCGTAGCTGTGCCACGGGGGGGGGATAGGGGGGGGGGACTGTGGGGCGGCATAGAGGGCAGGAGTTGTTTCCTTAAACAGTGTCGTCAAATTTGTTTTTTCCCTCTAAAACAGCTACCGTACTGGTACTTTGGAGACGAAAACAGCAATGAGTAGATCAGGTCGTGGCTGCACATCAGAGATAGGAAAAAACCCACAGCTCTCAAAGATGCTGTGCCAGCCGGGAATCGAACCCGGGTCTGCACCGGGCTCATGGCAGGGTGCTATTCTACCACTAGACCACTGGCACGCTGGATGAAAAATTGTAGAGCAGATACAGTCTCTGACCGCTTGCGTACTTTGTTTCCACAGATTCTAAGCAGTCTCTTGCCACTACTGCTGCATCATCTACCATGGGCCGATGGTAGGTGAAAAAAGGACCTATAACTGCCATTGTATTTTGATCCGCGTCAGCAGGTCCTCCATGGGAGATCCCATTCGCATTACTGCTTCGTCATCTGGTGGTTGGTGAGAAAAGTCACTATCTCGTCACTTCCTTTCTTCGTTTATCCGCTTCAGCAGGTCCTCAATTTGACACTCCATTGCCATTACTGCTGAGTCGTCTACCGTACCTTCATCACTGACAGATGCGGAAACATAAGTGTTTCGCAGGTGCGAGAGAGTGGGAGAGAGTGGGAGAGAGGGGAGGAGCAGGCAGGGGGCAGGGAAAGGAGGCAAGGGGAGGAAGGCTGGATGAGTCAGTGGCTACACAGATGGGAGCAGGCATGCAGTGTTTGCAGCATGGCGGGACAACGTGAATGACCATGTGCTCGACAACTACACAAGGGTTGCGGTGGCTCACTATTGCCGGTAAAGGGAGGAAGGAAGGCTGGATGAGTCAGCGGCTATACAGATGGGAGCAGGCATGCAGTGTTTGCAGCATGGCGGCGGGACAACACAACTTACCATGAGCACAAAAAACAGAGGCTCCAATGGCACACCAGCAGAGGGAAGCAAAACGTGGTGTGACTTTTGAGGCGCCACTGAAAACAGAGGCTCCAATGGCACACCAGCAGAGGGAAGCAAAACGTGGTGTGACTTTTGAGGCGCCACTGAAAACAGAGGCTCCAATGGCACACCAGCAGAGGGAAGCAAAACGTGGTGTGCCTTTTGAGGCGCCACTGAAAACAGAGGCTCCAATGGCACACCAGCAGAGGGAAGCAAAACGTGGTGTGCCTTTTGAGGTGCCACTGAAAACAGAGGCTCCAATGGCACACCAGCAGAGGGAAGCAAAACGTGGTGTGCCTTTTGAGGCGCCACTGAAAACAGAGGCTCCAATGGCACACCAGCAGAGGGAAGCAAAACGTGGTGTGCCTTTTGAGGCGCCACTGAAAACAGAGGCTCCAATGGCACACCAGCAGAGGGAAGCAAAACGTGGTGTGCCTTTTGAGGCGCCACTGAAAACAGAGGCTCCAATGGCACACCAGCAGAGGGAAGCAAAACGTGGTGTGCCTTTTGAGGCGCCACTGAAAACAGAGGCTCCAATGGCACACCAGCAGAGGGAAGCAAAACGTGGTGTGCCTTTTGAGGCGCCACTGAAAACAGAGGCTCCAATGGCACACCAGCAGAGGGAAGCAAAACGTGGTGTGCCTTTTGAGGCGCCACTGAAAACAGAGGCTCCAATGGCACACCAGCAGAGGGAAGCAAAACGTGGTGTGCCTTTTGAGGCGCCACTGAAAACAGAGGCTCCAATGGCACACCAGCAGAGGGAAGCAAAACGTGGTGTGCCTTTTGAGGCGCCACTGAAAACAGAGGCTCCAATGGCACACCAGCAGAGGGAAGCAAAACGTGGTGTGACTTTTGAGGCGCCACTGAAAACAGAGGCTCCGATGGCACACCAGCAGAGGGAAGCAAAACGTGGTGTGCCTTTTGAGGCGCCACTGAAAACAGAGGCTCCAATGGCACACCAGCAGAGGGAAGCAAAACGTGGTGTGACTTTTGAGGCGCCACTGAAAACAGAGGCTCCAATGGCACACCAGCAGAGGGAAGCAAAACGTGGTGTGCCTTTTGAGGCGCCACTGAAAACAGAGGCTCCAATGGCACACCAGCAGAGGGAAGCAAAACGTGGTGTGACTTTTGAGGCGCCACTGAAAACAGAGGCTCCAATGGCACACCAGCAGAGGGAAGCAAAACGTGGTGTGACTTTTGAGGCGCCACTGAAAACAGAGGCTCCAATGGCACATCAGCAGAGGGAAGCAAAACGTGGTGTGACTTTTGAGGCGCCACTGAAAACAGAGGCTCCAATGGCACACCAGCAGAGGGAAGCAAAACGTGGTGTGCCTTTTGAGGCGCCACTGAAAACAGAGGCTCCAATGGCACACCAGCAGAGGGAAGCAAAACGTGGTGTGACTTTTGAGGCGCCACTGAAAACAGAGGCTCCAATGGCACACCAGCAGAGGGAAGCAAAACGTGGTGTGCCTTTTGAGGCGCCACTGAAAACAGAGGCTCCAATGGCACACCAGCAGAGGGAAGCAAAACGTGGTGTGACTTTTGAGGCGCCACTGAAAACAGAGGCTCCAATGGCACATCAGCAGAGGGAAGCAAAACGTGGTGTGACTTTTGAGGCGCCACTGAAAACAGAGGCTCCAATGGCACACCAGCAGAGGGAAGCAAAACGTGGTGTGCCTTTTGAGGCGCCACTGAAAACAGAGGCTCCAATGGCACACCAGCAGAGGGAAGCAAAACGTGGTGTGCCTTTTGAGGCGCCACTGAAAACAGAGGCTCCAATGGCACACCAGCAGAGGGAAGCAAAACGTGGTGTGCCTTTTGAGGCGCCACTGAAAACAGAGGCTCCAATGGCACACCAGCAGAGGGAAGCAAAACGTGGTGTGCCTTTTGAGGCGCCACTGAAAACAGAGGCTCCAATGGCACACCAGCAGAGGGAAGCAAAACGTGGTGTGCCTTTTGAGGCGCCACTGAAAACAGAGGCTCCAATGGCACACCAGCAGAGGGAAGCAAAACGTGGTGTGACTTTTGAGGCGCCACTGAAAACAGAGGCTCCAATGGCACACCAGCAGAGGGAAGCAAAACGTGGTGTGACTTTTGAGGCGCCACTGAAAACAGAGGCTCCAATGGCACACCAGCAGAGGGAAGCAAAACGTGGTGTGCCTTTTGAGGCGCCACTGAAAACAGAGGCTCCAATGGCACACCAGCAGAGGGAAGCAAAACGTGGTGTGCCTTTTGAGGCGCCACTGAAAACAGAGGCTCCAATGGCACACCAGCAGAGGGAAGCAAAACGTGGTGTGCCTTTTGAGGCGCCACTGAAAACAGAGGCTCCAATGGCACACCAGCAGAGGGAAGCAAAACGTGGTGTGCCTTTTGAGGCGCCACTGAAAACAGAGGCTCCAATGGCACACCAGCAGAGGGAAGCAAAACGTGGTGTGACTTTTGAGGCGCCACTGAAAACAGAGGCTCCAATGGCACACCAGCAGAGGGAAGCAAAACGTGGTGTGACTTTTGAGGCGCCACTGAAAACAGAGGCTCCAATGGCACACCAGCAGAGGGAAGCAAAACGTGGTGTGCCTTTTGAGGCGCCACTGAAAACAGAGGCTCCAATGGCACACCAGCAGAGGGAAGCAAAACGTGGTGTGACTTTTGAGGCGCCACTGAAAACAGAGGCTCCAATGGCACACCAGCAGAGGGAAGCAAAACGTGGTGTGACTTTTGAGGCGCCACTGAAAACAGAGGCTCCAATGGCACACCAGCAGAGGGAAGCAAAACGTGGTGTGACTTTTATGATTCAGAAAGACTACGCAGCATGGCATGACGCCTACCAAAGACTAAAAGGCCGCACCAGTTGTGTATAGATTCGTGATGCAAAGCTGATCGCACCTACTGTGTACAGGCTAAGGGATACGCGCAAAGCAAGTGCTAAAAAAAGGCCGCACCTGTTGCGTATGGGCTCATGGTCCAATGCTAAGGGGCTCATGGTCCAATGCTAAGGGGCTCATGGTCCAATGCTAAGCGCACCACAAACAGTAGGACTCAGCAACTTGGCATGAGCACCTATCAGAGACTCAAAGGCTGCAACTGTTTTGTATGGGCTCATGGTCCAGTGCTGAGCGCACCACGTACAGTAGGGCTCAGCAACTTGATATGCGCACTGACCAAGGACTCAAAGGGCGCACCTGTTGTGTATGGATTCATGGTCCAGTGCTGAGCACACCACATACAGAGCTCTTCCCACTATGTCTCTCACGTTCTCGGGACCAAGAGTGCGGCTGTCTAGGGCCTCCTGGAGGGAGGAGACAGAGAGCACTTACCAAGGACTCAAAGGCCGCACCACGTACCTGTTGTGTATGGGTTCATGGTCCAGTGCTGAGCGCACCACATACAGAGCTCTCCCCACCATGTCCCTCACGTGCACAGGCCCGAGCGTCCGGCTGTCTAAGGCCTCCTGGGAGGGAATAATAAAAAGGAGGAGCAGGAAATGGACTTAGAGCACGAAACGAGTGAATAGATTCCTGGCTAGGAGCCTCTGTGCTGTCTCCTTGAATGCCCGGGGTGAATTCTGAGGCGCCTCAGAAGTGGAGTTTGAGCACAAGAAGAGATGGATTCCTGGCTATTTTTGAGGCGCCTAAAAAAAATCCGCGGGAGTTGAGACGATTTTTGAGGCGCCTCAAAAATCGTCTCAACTCAAATGGAGTATGAGCACGAGAAGAGATGGATTCCTGGCTAGGAGGAGCTGCCGTGCTGTTCCCCTGGCTGGGTGAGACTGCGCTGGCCCGATCGTGCGGCGGTGAAAGGCCTCCTGGGAGGGAAAACAAATAGACGGAGTGAAGAGGGGCGAAGATTCTTGAGGGTTGGAAAAGGCAAGAAAAAGAAGAAGAGCTTTCAGGCAAGAACCAGATATATATGTATATATATATATAGGAGAAAGAACGTTGGGGAACATACCTTTATCTTATCCAAGTACCTTTATATAACCGCCCTTACATACCCTTATATTTTCCAAGAACTCTTATTATCATCCTTTAACATACCTTTCCCATTTCCAAGTACCCTCAAATGATCACCCTACTGAACGCACCTTTGCAGGAACAGCGGGACCATCTGCAAGCACCCAGAACTGGTCCCCTTTCTTGTGGGTTGGTTGTGAGAATTCTCATAACCAAACCTGTTGCCCTTTCAAACTACCCTTGGACATACCTTCACAGGAACAGCCGGGTTGTCTGCAAGAACCCAGAAATGGTCCTTCTCTATCCGAAACGGCTCATCTGACGGTTGAGATGACAACATCTCGTCTCCAGGAACGGCTGCGACTCGCCGAAAGATAACCGGAAATGAACTGCGTGCTGCCTTCGCCTTGGCAGTGGCTTCTGAGTCGGAATGTTTTGAGTCGGAACCTTCTGTGTTGGCTTTTTGAGTTGACTCGACACTGGGGGCTGCTTTCGCCTTGGCTGCTTTCGCCTTGGCAGTGGATTCTGGGTCAAAACTGGCTGGTTCATTGCCCGCAGCAGCACGAGAAGCAGCAGAAGCAGAAGCAGGGGACGCAGCTTCAGAAGCAGAGGCAGAGGCAGCAGGAAAAGCAGAAGCAGGAGAAACAGAGGCAGCAGGAGAAGCAGGGGCAGCAGGAGCAGGAGAAGCAGAAGCAAATGCAGCAGAAACACGTGTGGGGTCGACATGAAACCCCACCACGTCTCCAACGGAAAGAGTGCTGCCACGGGGGAGAGTGAGGAGGAAATGGGAAGGGCTTATGAGAGAAAGGGGGGCAAAGAAAGTATGAGAGAAAGGGGGACTTCTGAGTCAGCTACAACGAAACACGTGCTGGGTCGACTTGGGTTGGAACCCCACAATTTCTTCAACGGAAACAGTGCTGCCACGGGGGAGAGCAAGGGGACACAGACAGGGCGTATGAGGAAAAGGGGGACATCTGAGTCGGCTCAAAAGAAACACGTGCTGGGACGACTCGGAACCCCCACCACGTCTCCAACGGAAACGGTGCTGCCATGGGGGAGAGCAAGGGGGACATAGAAAGTATGAGAGAAAGGGGGACATTTGAGTCAGCTCAAACGAAACACGTGCTGGGTTGGGTCGACTTGGGTTGGAACCCCACACGTCTCCGACAGAAACGGTGCTGCCATGGGGGAGAAAAAGGGGACATAGAAAAAAGACGTATAAGGAGAAACATAAGATTGGGTAGTCCTTATGAGAAAGCAATGGGCGGATAAGGAACAGACCAGATGGGCGGCACACTCAACTGCCAACTGGGTGGCACACACACTCTACTAAATGCACGGCACACTCACTAACTGCCATTTGGGGCGGCACACTCACTAACTGCCATTTGGGGCGGCACACTCACTCCCAAGTGGGCAGCAGCATAAACCGGTAGAGCACCCACTCGTCCTTCATCCCCCTTATAGTCGGCCTCATGGTCCCGTCTCGTAACAAAGAAGGCTGCAGATATGTCATATACGATTTCTCGTGCTGCACGATCTTGTTCAGAGTCCTCACTAGCTTGCCAATTGGGGGGAGCTCTCCTGGATGCTGCTCCATGTGGGCCTGCAAGGCAATCAGGCAGGGGAAGTGGGGGCAAGAGGGCGGCAGTCAGTACGATGTGCGTTGATGCCTCGTGCTGCACAATCCTGTTGAGAGTCCTCACTAGCTTGGTGATGGGGGGGAGCTCCCCTTGATGCTGCTCCATGTGGGTCTGCAATCAGGCAGGCAGAAAGGATACAGCTTTGTCAGGCCCAACTACCCTGCACAAAGCCGTTCATATGAAGCACTTCTGACACACATACTTAGTCACACTGTAATGAATTTTGAGAATTCTCAAAAGTCAGGCCAGCGCTCTCACCAGCACTCACAGCAGCACTCACAGCAGCACTCACAGCAGCACTCACACCATATCTCACGTGCACGAAAGCTGAGCATGGAGCACTTGCCTTCTGCCCCGAATGTTGCTTACCATCACCCACAGCACCAGTAACAGCAAGAATCTCTCACACCGCCTCTCACTGCAGCACTCACTCGCACGAGCACGAAGGTGAACAGGGAGCACTTCTGAGTCACGTATCCGCATTGAGTCGACTTTTGAGATTCCGCACTCACACCATCACTCACACCATCACTCACACCATCACTCACACCATCACTCGCACCATGACTCGCACCATCACTCGCACCATCACTCGCACCATCACTCGCACCATCACTCGCACCATCACTCGCACCATCACTCGCACCATCACTCGCACCATCACTCGCACCATCACTCGCACCATCACTCACTCGCACCATCACTCGCACCATCACTCGCACCATCACTCGCACCATCACTCGCACCATCACTCGCACCATCACTCGCACCATCACTCACTCGCACCATCACTCCCACCATCACTCCCACCATCACTCGCACCATCACTCGCACCATCACTCGCACCATCACTCACACCATCACTCCCACCAACACTCGCACCATCACTCGCACCATCACTCGCACCATCACTCACACCATCACTCACACCATCACTCACACCATCACTCACACCATCACTCGCACCATCACTCACTCGCACCATCACTCGCACCATCACTCGCACCATCACTCGCACCATCACTCGCACCATCACTCGCACCATCACTCGCACCATCACTCGCACCATCACTCGCACCATCACTCGCACCATCACTCACTCGCACCATCACTCGCACCATCACTCGCACCATCACTCGCACCATCACTCGCACCATCACTCGCACCATCACTCGCACCATCACTCACTCGCACCATCACTCCCACCATCACTCCCACCATCACTCGCACCATCACTCGCACCATCACTCGCACCATCACTCACACCATCACTCCCACCAACACTCGCACCATCACTCGCACCATCACTCGCACCATCACTCACACCATCACTCACACCATCACTCACACCATCACTCACACCATCACTCGCACCATCACTCACTCGCACATCACTCGCACCATCACTCGCACCATCACTCGCACCATCACTCGCACCATCACTCGCACCATCACTCGCACCATCACTCGCACCATCACTCACTCGCACCATCACTCGCACCATCACTCGCACCATCACTCGCACCATCACTCGCACCATCACTCGCACCATCACTCGCACCATCACTCACTCGCACCATCACTCCCACCATCACTCGCACCATCACTCACACCATCACTCGCACCATCACTCGCACCATCACTCGCACCATCACTCGCACCATCACTCGCACCATCACTCGCACCATCACTCGCACCATCACTCGCACCATCACTCACACCATCACTCGCACCATCACTCGCACCATCACTCGCACCATCACTCGCACCATCACTCACACCATCACTCACACCATCACTCACACCATCACTCGCACCATCACTCACTCGCACCATCACTCGCACCATCACTCGCACCATCACTCGCACCATCACTCGCACCATCACTCGCACCATCACTCGCACCATCACTCGCACCATCACTCCCACCATCACTCGCACCATCACTCGCACCATCACTCACACCATCACTCCCACCATCACTCGCACCATCACTCACAGCAGCACTCACGCGCACGATCACGAAGCTGTACAGGGAGCACTTCTGAGTCACGTATTTCAGCCGCATCAGCCACGACGCCATCGCGCCTGCTCTGCTCTGCTCTGCTCTGCTCTGCTCTGCTCTGCTCTGCTCGCAAGGAACGGAACCCTCCTGTTACTAGTACTGGCTCAGCTGCTCGTCAGGTGGTTACACGCCGTCTGGTGGTTACCAGTCCGCTCAGCTCGCTCGCGTGGACCTGACCCCTCCTGTTACTAGTACTGGCCTAGCTGCTCGTTCAGGTCAGCTCGTCTGGTGGTTACCCGTCGTCTGGCGTTTACTCGTCGGACTGTTGGTTACTCGTCGGTCTGCTATTTCACGACGGCAGCGGCTAAAATCGCTCAACGGTATGGTCCTCGAACCGCAGTTATGAGCACGCGAAGCAGCAAGAGTAACGATACGGGCGGTAAAGCAGTGGAGGCGGCTTCGACGCCGAGTCGCTCTAGTGCACTGTATCGCGCCGAGTCGCTCTAGTGCACTGTATCTGATCGTTAGAGTGAAAGCCGCCAACCAATGACGAGAAAGAGCGATGCGAGCACGATGATAGTGACGGCACAGCAAAAGGGCTGTTTCTGAGACGTCTCAATGACGATACTGACGACGGCAAAGCCTCAGATTCTAGGATCTTCTACAGAGAAGATACGCAGCAGCAGACGATTGCGAAGCAGACTTGCCGATCATGTAACGATCGCCTGTTAAACTACTTGGTAGAAAACGAGCAGCGCGGAACGAGACTACTGCACCCACTGCTACTCGAACAACCTAGGACAGATGGAGAAGCGAGAGACCATTGTCTTATACCTTTATTGTCCCCTCTTTCTATGGTATGCGGATTCAGGAGCCATGTATTTATCCAATTTGCTACGAATAGTGAGTATGAAACAAGACTCGACGTTTACGTCGGAAGGGTTGCGTAGAGTTGTATCCCTTGTATTAGAAACAATATGTTAGAAACATTGAGATAGAGTACATACATTATAATTATACTTTGCTTATAGAAGCAATTCATTAAGTTCTTCATTTTTACTTAAAACAGGTCAGGCTCGATAGTTCCCTATTATGAAGCGAAATGTTCTATAGATGTTGCTTCCCTCAAAGTTGTTAATTAATTGTGGAACAACTTGGACATTTATGCTCTTTTTGTGATTTTTATAAACATGAATTGTTTTCACCAACAACTTAACTCCATTGTTCTTTCAGGTTATTATAGCGGGTTGGGCATTTGGCATCGCTGAATGCCCTCGTCCTGCGCTGGCATATATTTTCTCGCTCTGCTGGCAGAAGTTTTCTCGTTCTGCGCTGGCATCCGTCTCTTTCACAGCTCGAATTCGGCGCTGTCTTTTCTTGGTTCTTGTTCTTGAATCTTCTCGACAAGAACCTGCTCTGCTCCTACTCCTTTTCCTCCCCTCCCCCCCACCCCTTCTCGCCAGTTCTTCTCCCACCTAGCCGTCGCTCTCGCTCCCATCCAGCCGTATCCTCTCCCTCACTACCCGCTGACACCTCTCCAACCCACCTCACAATCACTCCGTCCCATCCACCCCGCCATCTCCTCTCCCTTACCTCCCCGCCGTCGCCTCCCTCCTCCTCGCCGTCGCCTCCCTCCTCCCCGCCGTCGCCTATCCTCCTCCCCGCCGTCGCATCTCCTCCTCCCCGCCGTCGCCTCTCCCTCCTCCCCGCCGTCGCCTCCCTCCTCCCCGCCGTCGCCTCTCCTCCTCCCCGCCGTCGCCTCTCCTCCTCCCCGCCGTCGCATCTTCTCCTTCCCCGCCGTCGCCTCTCCTCCTCCCCGCCGTCGCCTCTCCCTCCTCCCCGCGGTCGCCTCTCCCTCCTCCCCGCCGTCGCCTCTCGCTCCTCCCCGCGGTCGCCTCTCCCCACTCCCCCCCATCGCCTCTCCTTCCCTCTCCGCCGTCTCGTCCGGCGACAGGTGCACGAGCGCAAGCGCGGGTTGGTGCGCGAGCGCGGGTTGCTTTCTCAGGCACCGTGGTTATCAGGTGCGTTCCTGGTCCTTCCGTCCTCCCTCCCCCCTTCTGAAATTTCCGTCCTGTTTTGTTTTGTTTTGATTTGTTTTTTTCTCTCCAATGTGTCGATTGATCTCCACTTGCATTGCACTTTCATTTGAAGAAGAAAGAGATGGAGCGCGAGGGAGAGCGTGTGCGCATGAGAGAGCGTGTGAGAGAGCGCGTGAGAGAGCGCGTGAGAGAGCGCGTGAGGGAGCGCATGAGAGAGCGCGTGAGGGAGCGCATGAGGGTGCGCGTGAGGGTGCGCGTGAGGGTGCGCGTGAGGGTGCGCGTGAGGGTGCGCGTGAGGGTGCGCGTGAGGGTGCGCGTGAGAGAGCGCGTGAGAGAGCGCGTGAGAGAGCGCGTGAGAGAGCGCGTGAGCGAGCGCAAGAGAGCGCGTGAGAGAGCGCAAGAGAGCGCGTGCGTGAGAGCGCGTGAGAGAGCACATGAGAGAGTGCGTGAAAGCGCTTGTGAGAGAGCGCGTGAGAGAGCGCGTGAGGGAGCGCGTGAGAGAGAGAACGTGGTGAGAATGCGCGAGAGAGAGCGCGAGAGAGTGTGCGTGAGAGTGTGCCTGAGAATGCGCCTTGAGAGAGCGCGTGAGAGAGTGCGTGAGAGAGCGCGAGAGGGCGCATGAGAGCGCGTGAGAGAGCGCGTGAGAGAGCACATGAGAGAGTGCGTGAAAGTGCGCGTGAGAGTGAGCATGAGAGAGCGCGTGAGGGAGCGCGTGTGAGTGCGCGTGAGAGCGCGAGAGAGAGAATGCGTGTGATAGTCCGCGAGAGAGAGAATGTGGTGAGAGTGCGCGAGAGAGAGCGCGAGAGGGAGTGCGTGAGAGTGTGCCTGAGAGTGCGCGAGGGAGCGCGTGAGGGAGCGTGAGAGAGCGCGTGAGAGTGCGCATGAGAGAGTGGGTGAGAGAACGCGTGTGAGAGCGCGTGAGAGAGCGCGTGTGAGAGCGCGTGAGAGAGCGTGTGAGGGAGCGTGTGAGGGTGCGCGTGAGAGAGCGTTTGAGAGAGAGAATGTGCGTGAGAGTGCGCGAGAGAAAGGACGTAAGAGAGAGAATGCGCGTGAGCGTGCGGGAAAAAGAGCGCGAAAGAGAGCGCCTGAGAGTGCCCCTAAGAGTGCGCCTTGATAGAGCGCGTGAAAGAGCGCGTGAGAGTGCGCGTGAGAGAGCGCATGAGAGAGTGCGAGAGAGCGAGTGAGGGTGTGCGTGAGAGAGCGCATGAGAGTGCGCGAGAGAGCGAGTGAGGGTGCGCGTGAGAGAGCGCGTGAGAGAGCGCGTGAGAGAGCGTGCCAAAGAGCGCGCAAGAGAGCATATGAGAGTGCGAGTGCGAATGAGAGTGCGAGTGAGAGCGCGTGAGGGAGCGCGTGAGAGAGTGCATGAGCTCGCTAGGACGTAAGCTCTAGCTCATCGGCGCCTCGCAGTGCACTCGTGCACTGCAGTGCACTGGCGCCTTTCTGCTATGCGTTGACGCCTTCTGCAATGCATGTGAGGGAGGGTGATTTGTACTTCTTGCTTGGCCACCTGTAAGAGCACGTGTGTTGCGATATCTTATTTTTGCTTTCTTGTACACAGTGTATGAACATGCACTGATTTTTGTGCAAGGTGTGTTTTGCTTTCTTGTGCAGGGCGTGTGTGTGTTGACTTCCCTGTTTTAACTTTGTGCAGGGCGTGTGTGTGTTGACTTCCCTGTTTTTGCCTGGGCGTGTGTGTGTTGACTTCACTGATTTTGCTTTGTGCAGGGCGCGTGCGTGAGCTGAGAAGGGAGATGAGGGAGTGGGATGGAGATGAGGGAAGGAAGGAGGGAGGGTTGTAGGGAGGGTAAGGTGGGATAGGTTAGGAATTATTTTTTCTGAATTTTATTTATGACGGTTGTGTGTTTATTACGGTATCTGTATCTCTCTGTGCTTGTTTGCGTGTGTGTGCATGTCTGTTTGTTGTGTTTGTTTCACTGTGGGGTTGCTCTTCGATCCGTTCACAACCGTTACGTGGTGTTGTACATTTTTTACGTGCGTTTGCATTCGTGTTTGTGGGGTGTGTGTTTCAAAGTGTGGTGTTATTGTGTGTCATGTATGCAATTAGAGGTTGTTAATCGTCTTTGGGGCAGTGGGTTTCCGCTGTTTCAACGACCCCATCAACCTCTGTTGCTGCATGATGCATTTTAACATTCATTTTGAAGCATCCATTCCACCTCATACCTTGTTCATTCGTTCATGTTGATGCCAGAATTTTATGCTCGGCCGTACGATCCGCCGTATTTATCGACGAGGTTGGGACGGTCGAGCAAGTTCATGGTTTCAACATGATACGTACGTGCGTTCCGGTATTTGGTTTTACATATGGGGATCTCATTCAAGGGTGTTTTTTAACCATTATTTGAGGCATCCGTTTGAACACAGTTTCAAAACATTCAAAACGGGTGCTCCAAAAAGTGCGTAAATACACTCTTCAAATGATATCCCCAAAATGTCAAACCAAATATAAAGGGTTGCTACGCAACCCAAAAACAACTAATAGATTGCTGGGGTGAGGGCGTGTTTGCAAAAACTGGAATTTCGTCTGTTTGAAGAATTGGAAATGGGGAGGCCTACCATACTGTTTTAACCCATTCTCCAAAGAGTTTCGCAAATGACGGAGGCAGGAAACGGGAAGGAATCCGAGAGTAGCGACAGTCGTGAAGGTTTAAAAACATCTCTTGGCGAACACGTTAACTCATATTCTCGACACCTGGTTACCGTACCACACATCAGTTCACTATCTGGAAGTGCCCTCTGCAAGAGTGTAACAAGGGACCTGAGAAAAGGACGCGACAATCGAGATGTGAGTCCAACTCGTTCGGCACCAGCAAACACGGTACTTAGAGCGTGTTACGTACCCCTTATTTTGGTGGCAGGCCCCGGTTGCCTGAAAAAGTCGAGCCAACCTGACTCGTCGGGTCGACAGGGGGGCGGTTGGGTACCAAGCAGGCAACCGGGGAATGTACCACCCGCCTGTTTTCGGACCCAACCATTCGAATAGTATTGTGGGCAGACCCAGCAGTCACTTCGCCAATGATATGCACCGAAATTTTGATGGTTGTTTTTGTAAACCAATCGACTCGACTCCCTCCAATGTGTCATCTGCCCGAAATGTTACTGTACCACGGGTTGGGGTGCAGATTGGTACGTTCGCGGCTGGTCGCCTCGACTGGTTGGAAGTGGGCGGGACCATATGGTCGCATAGACCACCTGGTCGCCTCGACCAGGTGTGAGATTGCTCTGGTACACACATCCATTACTGTACACTGTACAGCCTAGGGTAATCGGGTAACCCTACTGGTCTACCCAACCCAACCGTTCGAGGCAACCCGACCAGCTCCCAAAAAGAGGGGTACGTAACACGCTCTTAGGGCGCGGAAAATCGCCCGATATCTCAATTTGGCCAGGGGGCGTTGCAAGGTAACCAGTTAACGAGTGTAATGAATATACAATTCATTACTGCTTAAGCTGCCCTTAGAGAGGACAGCCCCGAACACTGCGCGTCAGTTTCCGGTTCGGCCTACATTTCGGCCCGAACCACTGCCGAGTCACCCCGCACCAATCGCGACACTTCCAAGCCATCCAAGTCCCGAGGTCCTCGCCTAGCACGGTTTCGACCCTATAAATGCTCGTTCCTTTATTCTATTCGACATTCTGTACTTCACATCCTTTTTATAAAGTCTTCCGCGCACTCTGTTTAGTACAAATCATAACAGCGAGGCTCGCCGAAACATTTGCGTAACTCGCAAATATCGGCCATCTAATTAGTGCTTTGGTGGCCGAAAATAATGTCGACACTTTTCCGACAAATGGACGATGTTAGAGGAAGGATCTTGGATAGGATAGGAAGTGCTTTGGTAGAGTTGGTAGCGGAAGTCTTGTAAGAACTCAGATCATAGTGAATGTAAATGACCAAGTTGATTAAAAGATAGAATACAAGGAATATAAATAGTCCTAGTCTAGCCATGTACTCTAAGGGGTACATTCCCTTATTATAACTGTTTTACAAGCATTTCTACAGTGACTCTGACTGTTGTACTGCCTTTCTTGTTACCGAGTCGCTGCATGTAACCTATGCGGTTACGCCTGTTGCCATTCCTCGATGGTGAGTCAAGCGTCGGTCCAGATGGTCAACAGTCGCGACAGTTGACTCTTGCGACTGTTGACCTTCCTGCCCTTGTTACGGGCTGATCCGATATTGCGGTAGTTGCTGCTTCGACAGAGTCAGGTGCGATACTGCTGCACCTACAGGAATGCTAAGTATAATTCCCTTCACACTCCAACAGACGACATTAAAACGGCCACCATGTCGACCAGGCTGGCTACGGTGAAATGACGACGTCGCATAAATGGTTACATTGAACTGACGGCGTCGCCCGTTTGTGTGCGACACTGTCGCTACAAGTCGTTCAAAAGTCAAAAACGATATTTTTCCATGTATGTCACAACAGCCAGCAAAACCTGTCAAATTTAAAGGGCACCCCCAAATGGCCGAAAAATAGACGACTTGGCTACGACCATGTTGTCGACGTTTGCGAAAAAAAAAAAAATGTCGACCAAATGAACGACAGAAACGACCAAACCCAGTTTCGCCCGATTTTCCGCGCCCTTAAAACCAGGGTGCACATTCAATTGGATTTCTGTCAAAGGTTAACCTTTGACCTCGGGGTTACTCAGTGATTTAGGAATATCTGGGGGGAGTGTTCGCTTCAGCAGGTGAACATTTGAACCCTCGAGATTTGGCAAATGTATACCGAAGTCATCGAATGTGCTTCCGCCAATTCGTTTCCCCCCTCCCCATACCTATTCCGCTCCCACCGAAATTGTTTCCCCTTCCCCCACAATATCGTCTCACCCCCTTTCCCCTTTCCGCCAACCCAGTTGCCCTCCTCTTGATCCCCAATTTCTAGATCCAAGTGTTATCAATTTCTCCCCTGCCAAGCCTCATCTCTCACGGACGAAAACTATTCTCAACTATTTATTCGCTACTCGTCAACCAATCAGCAGTTCCCGCAAACATGCCGCCCAAAATTTAGCCTGGAGTCGCGTTGAATGTGTACCCTGGTTTTAAAGCTCGCGTCTCCAATTTTCAACGGTTTAACACTTGGTTGGGTTTGCACGTCAGTGATTGGGTGGCGAATGACGAAATTTTTGGGGAGCTGGTGAAAACAACACGGCGAACTCCCCAACAGAGGGTGCCAGAACAAACCTGGGAGTGCAGGTTTGGGTGCAAGTCGAGCCTGAAGGGACAGGTCTGGGTCTGATTGAGAACTGTGCGACCCACTTCGACGACGCAAGCACTTTGTGGGGTTGAAATGACTGCTCACGCCAAGCAACCTTCCTCCCGTCTCCTTGCTTTGTGAAATTCGACATAGCACATTCCTGGTAAGCATTCTTTGCACCGTGTACGATTAGAATGAGAATAGCTTCCCATATCGTCGATGAGAGAGGAAACGGGCGGCATGAGAGTGGTAAGCGCCGAATGAGATTTAGAAGGGCTGATTTAGACTACGACGGGCTAAATGAGAGTTGATACGTGCGGAATGAGTGTAGGGTGTGCGGAATGCGATTAGGAAGGGCGGTTTGTTTAGGAAGAGGGGATTAGGGAGAGAATGACGGGCGCGACGAGAGGAAGAGGAGCGTCATGAGAGGACGAAGTGCGGAATGAGACGAAGAATTACGGAATGCGAGGAAGACGGGCGGAATGAGAGGAATAAGGGCGGAATGAGAGGAATAAGGGCGGAATGAGAGGAAGAAGGGCGGAATGAGAGGAAGAAGGGCGGAATGAGAGGAATAAGGGCGGAATGAGAGGAATAAGGGCGGAATGAGAGGAATAAGGGCGGAATGAGAGGAATAAGGGCGGAATGAGAGGAATAAGGGCGG